TTGGAGGTCAAGAATTTTTCCAATAGGCCATATGTGGGGTATTAAAGAGAATCAGGCTATTTGCTTTTATCGCTTGGCTGTGGCTTGAAATTACACTTGACTCTATGGGACTGGTGCTATGGCAGGAGCCACAACCCTAGTCGTGCATAATTTTAAGCTGCAGCTAAGTACTTAAGGCGCGGCTTTAAAAATCACGTATAATGCAGTGGCTGCTGTGTTCCAATGAAAAGCCTAAATTCCAGAAGGGCGCACGCACAATTGTCTTGAGCTATATGTCTCTTAACAATTCCAAGATCAAGTCAAATTTCAACTGGCCAGTGCACCAGACATTATTATCCTGACATAGACTTGAGGATAAGTTGCTTGATTTTTTTGTCCTTAAAGGGCCCTGTTTTTTACAAGATTAGAACATGAAAAAGGGACAATGTCTTCGTCTTTAAGTCATTCAACTTCATGTCTATTGTCTACCCACATTGTCAGAGTACATTTTCTAAACTTCAAGTTGTTTTTGAATGACCGTAAGCAGAGCTTTCCCAACAAAAAGTCAAACATGCCATTTCAAAGTTTGCGAGTCTCATATTGTGCTGGAAAAAAATCAATCCTGATGTAAACCCCAAGTCATGAAAAAAATTGTTTTCTAAGGTGTCACATGCAATCGTATTCACAGACCTTTTCCCAGAACTACTTGTATGTGTATTCTCATAATTCTGGCAATTATTCTGTTTAAGGCCATTTAACCAGCTTAGGACCATGTACTTGTATCTTGTAAAGTGTTTCAACACAGCACCAATGTAGTTTTAATGGGCGGTAAGCCTGCCCTGGTTATGAAAATGGGTCTTTGGCCATTCAGTGACCAGAAGAGGAGATTTAAAAGTGCTGTTTTTTCACTGGGGTGATCATTTTTTTATTTTTCTAGATTCAGTACTGGATCAAAACAAAAATCTACCTTTCCACGAGCCGAGATTGCCATGGAGATGATAGATACTACCACCATTCCGTCATAATGCGCAACATCGACAAGCTAAATCTTCGACCAGACGATGTCATGTTAGACGTGGGTTGTAGCACAGGTGAAGAGACGAAGGCATTGGCATCGAAAGTCGGTAGTGCAACGGGTAAATAGGCTGCTTGTGATTCTTGATTGAAAGTCTTTGCTGATTGCAAATATATGTACATGAGCACATGCTAACAGATAGACACAGCCATAGCCGTTATGGTCAAAGAGAATTGCTTTCAACAGACCTTTTACCTCCAGATGACTTCACCCCAGTACTTATTATAATGTTAATGCCAGTAAATTTTCACTGTTTTTCATTTGTTTTTGTTTTTCCACACATAAACCTCAGCATGCACCTTTAATTTCATAAACACTAAAGTCAGCTGCTCAAATGTTATGTAAAATGCTGAATCACCAAAATCCATGGATGAAGGCTTTGATGTGTATCCAATGAAATGAATCCGTTGTTCTTTTGAAAACAGGCATTGACTCTTCGGAGGAGATGGTAGCCTTCGCTCGGGCAAACAACCTTGCACCCAACGTTAGTTACAGTTTGGGAGATGCACAGACCATCGGGAACCACCCCGAGTGGCAGGAGAGGTTTGACAAAGCTGTCAGCTTTTTTGTTCTCCACTGGTGTCCGGACCACGCTGAGGCACTCAGGAACATTCTGGCTTGCCTCAAGCCAGGGGGCGAGGCACTGCTCATCGTGATTAACCGAACAACACTGATCTCCGAGGTTCACAGGTTCTTGAACAGTCATGTGAAGTGGGGACACTATGTAACAGTAAGCCAAACGTTGATAAAGGATGGAACGTCCAGTGTGTTAAGGGTGGCAGAGTACACGAGGCTATTATGAATGCAGATCCAAAATATTAGAGACGTGGATTTTTAACTAAAAGTAATTTGTTAGACGAGGGCCATGGCCTCCCTCCTGAAAGAAGCAGAAATATGTTTATGAAAAACAATAGAATAAAGACATTCTTTTAGTTTATTTTATTTGCCTTCCTTCTAGAAGCATGAACAGTCTAAGAAATAGCCCCTTAAATGTAATCTCACCCCTCAGAAAGCCATAAAAGGTTACAAAAAACTTTCTTCCCAACCCCCTCAAAAAAAGGATCTGGATCCACCCATTTAAGTACGTATTTGGATGTTTAACATCAGTTGATGTACACGTAATTTTCCCTTTTTCCAGGGCTTTGAGAATACGTACTCCTTTTGGGATCGTTCCGTCGCAGAAACCGAGGAGCTGTTGGCAACGTGCGGTTGGACAAACCTGCGATGTGAAATCCAACACCATTTGCCTAGCACAGAGTTTCAAACAAAACGTAAGCTGAGAACTCATTTTACGAGAGGTCTGTTCTGGGAAGTATAACCGTCAAGACCCATCACCAGGGCCAGTTCCGATCCTGCTCTCCGAATTCAATTTCATTTTATTGCGCACTCTAGAATGGAAAGTCCCACCCTATGTTTCAGTTGGGCGGAAAACCAGAGAGAAATTTTCATGCATGTTTAATCAACATTATGTAGCAAGTGAGATTTCTTGCACAGAAGAAGATAGCGATTTGCACCATTAGCTTCCATAACTTTCATTCATTTCTCTATTTTCCTTCATTATTCTCTGGCAACGTTCCGGGTCAAAATGCAGTACACGTACTGGATTGTTTTCAACTACAAATTCTTTGTTTCAAATGAAAGCTTATCAATCTGTTTCCTTTGCAGTATTCATGAAGACCTCACTGGGAATATCATCGCTAATACCGGAGTCAGAACAGGAGGCGTATTTTGAGGATATCTGGCAATGGGCATTGTCTCGATACGAGGTTGAGACTCAAGCTGGGTATGTTTTCCTCCCTATAGACCTGATGGTAATGCAAGCTTCTAAGCCGCTCTGAAGTAGCCAACTTTCTGCAGTGCTCTGCGTCCTGTTGAGCAATGTCTGCCAAGTCTGCATATTATGTGCGTTCTGAAGACGTTTTCTATATTTATACAGATTTTTAGGGAAGGTAGTTTTGTAGTTAATAAATTATAATGATATGTAATAAAATATACTTAGTCTTATAAAAAGAATATGTAATTATGCATATAAAACGATGTAATAATAAGATATACTCTCTGACTGAAGAGTATAATCTTAGGAGGAAAAACATACTGGTAATGATCCACACTTCCCTCCAGGTGATACTCACGAGCAGTTTTGCCTGGGCTATTAGCAAGGGAATACCAAGATAAATATTCTTATTTCAAATTCATTAGCTTGGCGAGAAAATGTGAGGGGACTTTTTTTTTACTGAAAATGGGGGCGTACTCAAAGATTATTAGAGGGGGCAGGGGCGCATGCTTCCCTAGGAAAGTGTTAATAAAATCCTGCAATCCTGAAATCTGGTGCATTTAAATATCCCCCAAGTCGACTCCCAGACTTCTGTTTTGTGGTTGTTTTTATCCGTGAAACAATGGAGGATTACATGAAGACTGGCTAGGGGGAGGTATTCAAACCCCCAGGTTTCCTCCACCCCAAGCTTTGCTCCAAGACCCTATGATCAGTTCGTCTCTTATGAATATAGCGCCCTCTAATGGTAATGCTAGTTGGTTGTGCTCGACATCGACAGCGCATGTCGTCTCCACGGTCCGGCGTGTTCAGTGCAGTGCAATGGCCGAAACAGTAAAACCAGTCTTGGGGCAAGACTGCCCCCACGTACTCTTTATAAATAAATAGCAAATGCTCCCTTGCCCGGCTGTAGGAATCCGAAGATGGGGGGGGGGGGAGAATGGCACCTGGGGCTGGACATTTTGTGGTGCTGAGCATGGAAGAAACCTCCAACCCAATTTCCAGGTTGTCGTAGGCTACACGAAGGCCAACGGAATACAATGTAGGCCGAGTTCTTTGATTCAGCATTATAATAAGCCAGCATCTGGGCTCATTTGTATGATCATACCCATCCTGCAACTTGACAGAACATCAAGCGATAGGTGATTATTTTTTTCCCAATTCCCCCTTGAACGTCCAATTTAGTTTTGTGATACCTCCGTGGCCATCATTTATGTGGTTGTTTAGACCTATCGATCGATCATAGTGCAAATATTATCGCGTCCGAGCAAACACTAGAGATGGAGCGTGATTAATGCTAGTCTGCAAGTCAGCCGTGAATGAATGCTTTGCTGTCAGTATCACTGTTGGAGAAGAGACTAACACGGAGGATTTGTAGAAGTGAATTTTCTTCTTAAATATAATGTCAATTTGTCTCAGGGGCTAACTTTTCTCTGTGTATTGATTTTTTTGTCTTTAACTGTCACCGTATATATTCTTTTTTAAACATTTGTTTTTATTCTAAACAGAGACCAACTCTTTTTATTCTTTACGGTTATCTGAGAAAGCTGGTTCACAGTTTTATAAAGGCATTCTTTTATGTAAAATTAAAGATGTAAAATAAATGAGTAGATTACGATAAGTGTAAATCATGAAGAAGTTATTCAGTCTACTGTATTCCTTTCTTTAACGAACGATAAACTTGCACTGTGCCATGTGTTGTGTAAGTGCTCATTGTTAGCGTGAAATCTTCAGTGTTGTCATTTCATGCATGTGTGCCTGGGAAAGAGACTATGGACAAGCTTCTCATACGCCAGCATCCATAGTTACCTCCCATTGGTATTGCTTTGTTATGTGGACGAAAGGAGGAATATTGACATAGTGCTATAGTGTTGTAAATCACAGGATATGCCCACGAGGCACAGTCATTAAAAATCAGTTACCTTCGCCGGGTTTCATTTCACTGAACCTACCACTGAATTATGCTTACTGCACCATCTGCATGAATAATTTGGGTGCGAGTTAGCAACACTGATGTGGGTGGTCCATCGTTGGATACGAATTACTGTTGACGTCCTACCATGTATTCTTATCATGAAAACAAGTTCATTTCTACCAGGTAGGTTAAATCCCTTTTTTAATATCACGCTGTCAACGTCAGGCTCACTAGTGAGATGTGGCCTTGTGTGTTTTCTGCATTTGCCAAACGTCTTTATCAAGCAACTACCTTGAGATATTTCTTTGATCACACGTGTGTCCAACGTCAAAACCTTCACACTCCACAAATCTAAAACAAAATGTGAAGACACTTCTAGGAACTCCATGATAAAACGATTCCCCTGTCGCAAGCATGCGACACCTGAGCTGTACAACAGTCTCATAAGAAGACGAACTTATGTAACCTTAAATGCTGTTCTGGTACGCCTATGGCGTATGAGTCAATCATCGGCGTAGTTTATGCCGTTTTTTCCCTCAAGGAATATGCTAAAAATGCACACCAGGAATTAAGTGTGGAAATCCCCCATCTAAGTGTATAGATAAATAGTGACGAACAACAATTAACAAATTTTACGCAATATGAACATGAGCTTAAGAACTCCGACTGACATGGTGACGTCATTTTTAAATTACAGGCAAGCCCGGAATTGCTAATATAACAGGCTTTTAAAAAATGGAGTTTCCTAGAGACAAGAACCGAGCAAATCGGAAAGCTTTTTCATCGAGTTCCAACGAATCAACGAAGAAAACAACAAACGCACTAAAGAAGTATCGGCAACGAGAACTCAAAGATGACCATCGAGTGATAGTCTTGACGACCCCCGGCCTAAGGTGGCCAAACAAGCGCTGGACAACATTGAAAGTGAACATAAAATGAACCAGGTGGACGCCAAAATCCAAGGGGAGCTCACACCACAGGAAATTCGGGATTTGAAAGATGTGTTTGATACATTCGACAAGGAGCATCGCGGGTGAGCCCACAATTCCCTAAAGACACAAAGAATGAAATTGCATGGGTTTGGTTACATGACTTTGAAAATCGCTGGAATAAATGCTCGAGATTCGTCACATTTACAGCTCTGTATCTTTGGGATCCTGAATAAGAAACCATATATATTCAGCGTATAAAGCTGTTCCACAAATTTCTGCCTAGGATATTACATACAGTATTTTCGCTGAACGCCACAAAATCACGAGAAAGACTTTCTTTTCTTCTTTCGACAATTGTAAATCAACAGCAACCCCTCCCCTAAAAAAGTGGGGGTTTCTGTTTTCAAGAAGATTAGTGCACTTAATGGGGCTCAGAAGGATACACAACTTGCCCGCCATGCACCCACTTTATGGCGAGCCATTCGATCTTATGTCATTTGTGGAACAATTTTGTGACAAATTTCATTTAAAAATGTCCTGCACAGCTGGTGTAGTACTCGGATAGGGCGGAATATGATTACTTACAAACACGAATAAAATCCTTCCTTGATTACAGATTTATCGATGCCGACGACTTGCGCCGAGCGCTGAGGGTAATGGGCTTCAAAGTCACTCAAGATGACTTGACAGAAATGATTGGTAAGAAAATATCCCCACAGTTACCTCTAAATGTGGATTTCACAAAAACCTGATCTTATTTGTCTCCATTGTTTTTTAATGATTGCTACCGATGGACGAAATGTGTCCCTAGGGTTGGCAGCGACCGTCACAGTTTAAGACACAAGTGCATATGGCAGTAAAAAAAAATGAACACCTGGCAAAATGCCAACAATACAAAATAAACTGTCAAGCATGTTAGCAACATAAAGGCAGAAAGTCACTCTCACTAGATCAGATGAAGAGATAGCAAAGTGACTTGCCAAAAGTATACCCAAACAATTAATGTTCTGTTTATTTTTGCTCCACAGCCGACGTTCATGGGAAGACAGTCCCTCGTCGGTGAGTCTGCCACGGTCCATCTTTGCTCGTAACGATATCGGAAGTTATATAATCGAAGGAGAAAGACTTTTAGTTCATGGATTCTTTTATATTAACCGTGATTAACACTGCACTGGTAAATGCGCAGCAGTGCTTAGACAAAACACCAAAAGGGTCCAGGATCACTTAAATTAAGACACATTCCGTTTAGGTCTATGGGCCCGTTAGGCCAGTCGTTATGAATGTCATCTCTTGTCGCAAAGAGGCAGCTCGACCTTTTTGTCTTTCAGAACACACAAATTAATTTCGTTTTCGGCAACTTTGAAATTCCTTTCATCTAAATCATTTTTATCATTTAAACGCGTTGGCATTTTTTTTAATTTGAATTTCGTCATTTGTGTTGGCAGCGAAGTCACGTTTGAGCAGTTTCTGGAGCTCGTGGTGTACAAACAAGGGGACGCGAGGGATGTATACGCCGAGCTTGAACATGTAGGTGTGCATGCTTCATGGGTGAAATCAAGCTGTATACAAATTAATCTAAAGACCATTTCTTCGGACAGAATTCCGTATACGGACGTCACTAACTTTTCCCTATAGTTACCTATTAGCCATTTCAAAGCAATAACACGACCTCTAAGGTGAAATTTAGCAGGGAAATTATTGAGGCATTAACGTCGAAAACTGAATTTTTCAGACTAGTTTCATAGAGTTTGTGTACAGGCTGTCAACCGGCGTCACTGTTTCCAAATTGCTTTCAAAATGTCAACATGGCAAATGTGAAATAGGCCTAGTTGCGGTCTCAACTCTCAAGGATTTTATGGAACTGTTAATTTGCTGCTATGAGAGACGCTTGAGGAGTTGATGTTGGAGCATTAATGCTATCGGGCAAGGATACGAATAAACCAAAGGGGAGTTGGGATCGCACTGACTGACAGTACGAGTACACTTTCCTGTACTATTACCACACTACAAGGAGCTTACCTTTGCTAATTCTCTTCGTCCAAATCACTTCCAGTGATCCGTAGAGTCAAATTTCATTCCACATTTGCCTCTCAGAAGTCCATGCTAAGATTTGCTGTCCGCAACGTTAATTCCAGTTAGTTCCTATATATGTCACTTCATGCTACGACTGCCGGCCGATTGTCGTGTTCTTCTTTAAATTCCGTGCACACGACAAAATGGCGCACTACCACTCAGCAGTTTGGCACGCCCGAGGCATTCAGCTTCTTATGTAACCCCAAAAGACACCTTTTTATTCTGTAAAACCGGGAGAGAGATTACTGCGTGGAACAGCCAGGTCTTGTACCACTAAACATTTCAAATGTAAGGCATGATTTCCCAAAGTAACAGTCTTGTACGCGGCATTTAGGTCTGTACTGTGCTTTGTCGCGATGATGCCGACTATACAAAGCCTTTTGTTCAAAGGAATGATGCTGTTGAACTTGGTATCTGTCATTTTTCTCACAGTGAGATTACAGTATTTGAGTAGGCAGTGACTACTTTGAGTAGTCACTGAGAGCGTGGGCTTTGCAAATAGCAATATCGGTGTTTCACGCTCAGGAATCCAATCATTTCTTCAAAACCAATAAAATCCTGCTGTTTTCTAGTCATGCATATTCTTGTCTATTTTATTTCCAGGGTTTCAGGATGATGGACATAGGTAAGTCTTGTCTGTATATCTAGATAACGTGATAATAAACATTTCATTAAAATCTTCGCCTGTGATCAGAGTTGAAGTCGAGTCCATCACAAGTCTCTTCAAAATTCCAGTCACAAGGCCTGTCATAAATAACAGGGTGAACGACAAAAGAATGCTTTTGTCATAGTTCATGTGAATAGCTTGCGATTGATGATAAATGACTTGTGATAGACTTACATGGACTTGCAAGGACTTGTGATTGACTCGAATACAACACTGCCGGTGATGCACCCACCATTATAGATTAAGGCCTCACAGTGGTAATTCACATCAATACATATTCCTTTTGTAATTCATTTAAGACGTCCAACCCATAATCGATTCTCTTTTGACAGGTGAGAAGGGCCATCTGACCTTTGATGACATCAAGAAGGCATCTCAGGCGGCAGGACTGAAGTTCCGCGACAGCACGATCCGGGACATGATGGATGAAGCAGACACCAACGGTGATGACCTAATAAGCAAGGAAGAGTTCTTCCAAGTTATGCTGCAGACCAACCTGTTTTAGCCCGGCACTTTTCAGAGTGCTTTGCTGATGCAGTCCCCCATCTCCGACGAGTCCTCTGACGATGTGTCAACGATCTGTGTGCAGAAAACGCAAAGCCAATTGGACGGCACCAACCTATCTCGAAGGCTGGGTCTCGCTCTCGCGGGAACTAACTGCTTGTGAAGTTGCACCTGGATAAAGCTCCGAGCGGGAGATAACGAGGATGAAACCCAAATAATTGGCAGTTTCAAGTAACGCGTTTCATGGTCAATCACATTATTTATTGCTATATTCTGTGTTTTTTAATGAACGACTGTGAACACAAAATAAAAGAATACATGCATTTTCCTGGTATAACTGCTTCCTTCGCAGAACCGATTTAACAGTCTACATTAGTGAACTCATAAAACCTCTCTGCATATAAAAATTTTTCAGTAAAATTTGGTCAATACTGTGGTCTTCATTTAATTCAACATTTGGAAGAGTGGTGCACCTTCACAGATAAAAAACTCTAACCAATAAAAGTTTCGTTTAGATGAGTGACAGAGTACTATGACGTTTGAAAGTTTTTGGTTAATTTGGGTTTTAAGGGGCACATTGTACCTGTAGATGATAGTTAGTGGTTAGATTTAATTGGGGTGCGTCTTCTTTGGCAAATAAATTCTTAGATGGTCCAAAGTCACCCTCGCACCAGCCGATTCCCTTCAGTAAGTGTAACGTGACACACCGACTCTTAGGGATGCATATATTGGAAAGCGTGAAGCGATTTAAGATGGACGTACAAAATCTGGACATTCCGACCGTGCCAAGTATAATGGAGCTGCACGCTGGTTCCCGATCACCCCGATGGAATACCAGTCTCAACCGTTCCATCATTGAAAGAAAAATCTTTACCAACTTCTGAATGGGGCGGTAACATCGAGGACAGTGCCATGACTTCTATAAATCAATGGAATATCCAGGTAGAGATCTGTGGTGATTAAGCATTCCACAAAGCTAAGAAACAGCTTCAACATCTCAGCCACTACACGGGTGTGTCAAGGGAGATCCCCAATTCGTGTCCTTGTGGGGGAAATGCCAGTACATTGGCCGCAATTTATCTTTGACAGTTTGGTTTGTTTCATTCAAACTAGATGAACACCAGACGGTTGAGAAGAGAGCAAATGGGGCAAGGGATTAAGAACATTCATCATCCATCAGCCGAGCTGCCCTACTGATCACTCGAGTTTCGTCCGCACACAGATGGATGCCGCCACGAGGGGCACAGTTCTCGTTTCTTCGAGGCAGATTTTTGGTCTTGGTCTTTGGACTCTTCAGACAAATATCGGTATTGTTAACACTTTCTTGCAGTTTGGACAGCCCCTGGCCTTGAAGGTGCTGGTCTCTGCACACCTGGGTGGAACAAATGTGAGGGAAAAAAACCACACACATTTGAGAGTGGAAAGTTACAAAAGATACGTTCCGAGTATGACCGTAAGTTGGTTCCGAGTATGACCGTAAGTTGGATAATCTCAGAAACTGAGTTCCTTCTTTGGAGTGGTTGATGACCACAACACACTGAAATTACATATTTACTCCTTTGGTATCTCTTTGCACTTTAACCAAAAGAAGGGCAGCCTTCAAAATTGTTGAAAACTCTGACAGATTAATTAAACAGACGATTTTTCCGTCACCCTTCTGTACGCTTAATTCAGGGATACCTTCAATTTAAAGGGGTTCGCCACAACCGCCAACAGAAGGCCTCAACCAGCAATGTTTGACAGAACTGGTCAATTAGTTTGACAGAACTGGTCAATTAGGACATACCAGTTTCTGAACCCCATCACACACCCCTTCTCTATCCTTTACCTGGCATGGAAAATGTGACAGCAAGAGAGAACATTCAGGCTGTCCTGACGGCTACCGATGACCTCGTGGCACACGCCACAGTAGAGGGACAGGTCCCTCAGGCAGCAGTCGAAGGCGGAGGCATGCTGCTGGGAGGCCTTGGTGTTGCCTAAAGCACGGTGGAGCTGGTGCATCAGCCAGTGGGACCGCAGCATGCACATCTAAGAAGGGGGAGGCGTGTCAGTGTATCAAGGGGTTCTCTGTACATGATCCACGGTAAGGGTGGAAATGTTTTCTGCTCACTTGCACCTTGTACGTGTATTTGGATCGTCAACAATAGGTAGTTAATCTAATACCCAGCTTTGTTTCCGCCTCAAACTTCATCTCTGGAAGCAATACTCGCTTTTAGGCCACCGATGTTCAATTTAAATAGGACGCGTCAATATTTTGGTCGATAGCATGAATTTCGATGTTTGGATGGCAGTATATGACTTATTATTGAGTCTAACTTACTTCCAACTCAAAGTTTTAGCCCAGTTTGGAAATCCGCCATGCATGATTATATGAAGCAATGGTTTCCATCCCACCAGGTTAAAATTGTGGTTGGAGCATCCTTTTTAGAAACAAAGTAGTGGATTATTCCAAGTACGAACACAGCTGGTGATTTTTATTTACACAAAGTTGGAGGCGCTGGTAGATCACCAGAATTTTCTCGCCCTCGTTTGGGCTTATAGGTTTTGAAAATGGTATACCTGAAAATGAGTTTTAAAGCACAGAACTGTTTTACCAATGGTGTGTTCTTGTTTTACGTATACTCGAACATTAAATCTATCTTCAAATTCAAGGCATCCTTCACTTACATCGTCGCCTAATTCATGGGCCGTTAAAGACTGATAATGAAGATGTATATGGGTGTGTTATGTCTACCAGTGCATTTGCTGACAATTTGTCTCGTGTTATCGAACACCTTCCCTGTCAAGGATGATGTGCGGCTAATATTACTTACTTTATTTCCAATGGCAGAGGCGATGTCTAAAGCCTGAGTATTGACGTCAAGAGCCTAATCCAACAAAGCCAAAAACACGAGGGTCAAAAACACTGACACAAACCTCTCGTCCACTTTCACCAGAAAAAGCAGAAAGAGCTTGAAGTCGAATTTATCGCTGCACATTTTTTCTACTGTCAACAAAGCCCAACGACGGTGGAAGCAAAGCGGAATCAAGAAGTCGGGATTTAGTTTCAGTGAGAATACCAGTGTGGTATCGAAATGGAACAAAAGCATAAGGGTTCGGGCAGTGCCTTTCCAAACATTCTTTACACTGACATTTGAACTATGATAACAGACCTTTGAGTAATTTGCACGACAGGCTTGTGTCCTCAAAAACTGAACGTCTCTGTTTATTTCAACTTTCTCTCTCACCTTCTGAAAATGCTTCATTAAGACTAACGTTTTGGCCATTCCCGATAGGACCTGAAGTTGTCCTAGTCTGTCGCCTACTTCAACCGCAATACTCAGCGACGACTCGTAGCGTGGGTACGCCCTCTGTCGATCAAAAGTCACCAAAACAAAAGCAGACAGTGAGGGGAAAAATGGTGGATTAAACAGAAATAAAAGACAAGTCATTTTATGAAATAGAATACAAGATATGCTCAAAAGTAAATTCTGCTAGGCTGGTCCTCAATCTTGCGACAAAAAGGCCAAAATCTCATGGCAAATTTGCTTGGTTTTCTTATAGTTTCAAGTCATTCAATTTCCCGAACAAAAAGTGTTCTAATAAACACCCCTCCCCCAAAAGTACACGTGGTATTCATGATCTGCACACGATAAGGAAAGTGTCTTGCAAAACTTTGACTGGCGCAGCGCCCGCTATAGTCAGCTATTTACATAAGCAATCACTGAAAGACAAGACCAAGAATGTATTTTCGTTAATCGTCGGCGCGGCGGCGTGTTTATTTAATCTGGAATTCGGGAATGATAAGACGATCTAGATTTCTTCAGGCGAGTGACTCAGCTCTCCAAAATAACTTGATATGTATATTTAGCTTTCGAGATTTATCAAGAGCCCGAGGTGTGGGATACATCACATTTTAATGGATTTCCACGTTCCTACCGGGTCGCTGGATTCTCTTTGCTCTCATGTCCTGCGCATTTGCGCATCTTAGCTCAGTGCGATGTACTTGTATAGTCCTTTGGCCCAAATAACAGAAGCTGAGCGTTCATAACGAAGAGTGAATTCTACAGTTATAATCATTCTGATCAAACCGTCGTAAACAGGCATTGATCCAACAGTGAGTTATGCAATACCGGTAGCTCAAAGACATTGAAAAAAGACCGGGTTGGATGGATGGGAATCATAGGACCGTCTGTGGAAGTGGAATAACTATTTTTGGTTCTGTTTTAAAGAGTTGATGCAGTGGAAGCCGCCACGAACAACTTTGCAAATCAATCCTTAATTTAGGTCTGTATTTTACGCATCAACAAGAGTCAATGCTAGTTAATTTGGGATAATTTTTTTTTCGCCACTACATAATTTGCCAAAGATTTAATTGCACGCAGCAGTTACTTATTGTTCAGTAAGGCAACGTTATCTAGTCGAAATGTCAATAATGTCAAAATGTAAATTTACCAAGAGTTTGTGCTCTTCCCTGATGTTTGGAACGGTGTTAAGTGCACTCAATACTGGAGTTATGCACAGATCCAAGCACGGACATTTTTAGCTTTCGGTTGGTCGTGGCGGTATGCACGGAGTGTGGTACCCTCACTTTATTTGGCTCTCCACAGGAAGGCCTACTCCACACCCCATAAGCACGGGTGTCGTGAGGGCCCGTGGGAACATTGCCCCGAAAACCAGAGAAACATTCAAAGGGGCGGGGAGAAGCAAGAGAACGAAGAAAGGAGGAAACGGGATGAAACTCACCACTTTGTACGAAAACACCCTAGAATTCCGTTATGGGTTTAGCTTGCTACTGATGAATGCTTTCCCAATGGAAACATGTCCCCTCCCCTAGAACAATTCCACAGACGCCCATGTCCACTAGTCCTACATGGGAGCTGTAACCATCTCACCTCGCAATCTCCTCTCATCCTGTGGATGTCGGCGAAGATGCACAGGCATCTTGCCTGGATGGCGCGGTCATTCAGCTGCAGCGCCATTTTCATCGCTTCCTAGGGGAAAAACAGAGAATGGCTGAGCATTTGGCAGAAGACATATGGAACTGGCGAATGTTTGTTCACAATGAATGCAATTATGATCTTTATTTATTTGCTGTAATTCATATGGTCATGCATCCATTACAGCTTAACTAGCAGCAATTTTGGATCCATTACCGTTCAATTTTCTTCTGCAGACCTGATACGGAAAAAACTGTTCACATCCAGGCGGAGTTATTCAGGCATATTTATTACGATAATACGAAACGAATCAAACTTCTTTATTTATGGATTCTGAAGTTTTCAGATGTTGTTCCAGCAAATTAGGGCTATCATGGAGGTAGGAAACAGGTGCTATCGAGAGAGCGTGAGAGTGTGCGGCGCAAATGTTGCGGTCGAGCTGTGCTGGTGGTCTGCTTCGCCCTATTCGCGTGCTTATAAAAACCACAATGGAAACCGCAGCATAAACTCGGAATACGCAGGTTGGGTTTCTCGGTCATACTACGGGTCTCCCCGGCCCTCTGAAAACTGACAACTATCGAAAGGGGACAGCGGTCACGACCGAGTTGTTACTATGGTACGGCCGCCAGTTCGACTGTGAACAAAACCAAGCACAGCCGAACGGCCTGCAGAAACCGTCTCATTACATCAGGTGTTCGTGTAGAGAAATAAGACTGGCTTTCCATTTTGCCATGGTTTCTGCAACACCTTTCTTCTTCTAAACATAGTAGACAAGTTCAAACGGGAACTAGAAAATTGGTAATTTAAAAAAAAAATCCCTGGAGAAAGACTTGTACACTTATTTCTCAGTATTTGGAGGCAATGTTTACACGGAAATGCACTGCAGAGAAATTCACATGCTTTAATTCTGAATGGGTGAGGTTCCGAGTTTAAAGCTTCAGCAGGTAAGGTGGGGGAAATCACTCTTTGCTCTGCGTGAGCCATGATACGATTCACTCACAGGGCATCTTCAATTTTGTCTGCGATGACTTCGTGAGCAATTGATCTTGACGTACTTCAGATCTGTGCCACCATGAAGTCTTGTGCAATGGGTGGCTTTGTGCGGAAAATGAAAAACAACATTAATTACCAGCGGAACCGATCCCCTAATGGAGCCCACGTGGAATTCAAGCGTGGGAGGTCAAGTTCAGGGAGTAACCCTTGACCCGCGCAAACGGAGCCGTTCCGTCTTACTGACAGATCGCTTGGGCTGGCCGGTCCCATGGGATACGGGAATATTTCAGGCCAAACCGAGGGGCTAGTGGAGTTGTTGATTCGCAGTAAGTGTCATGGGAGTTAACCTTCTGATCCGCTTACGATGAGGAAGCCAACTGTCTGTACCTAGGAGTATATGCCAAAGTTTACGGAATTACGATTTTTTATCAAAAGTATGCGTGCACGGTAAAGGTATCTCTCACCTCAACATAGGCCCTACCGATATTCACTATTAGTTATAAGTGTTATAGTCGAGTACTTTCCGAGTACCAACGTTCTCCG